TCAACTGTAACAACAAGTTAATGATGGGGTGCGTTTATAAAACAGTTTTAGCTATTAAAACAAAGGATTACGACACGAGAACCACAACTTCTTCAGAGTGCCTCCCGGGAAAATATCAGCCAAATTTCCATCAACATATTTCATTCATTACTCCACGACAGGAGAAAGAAGACAGCCATTGCCTTCTGGATTATTTATACTCCACCATTTTGTCTTTTCTCCACACATGTTTGATTTTATGGGTTTAGCCACAGTCAACTCGATAACAATGGGAAAACAATGGCCTCAATTTGTTGTCAAAACAAGTACAGTTGAACCTCCACTAACGGCCACCTCTTGTCACCAGTCACTTTCCTTTGTCACAGCGGACAGTCCATAGTTTTATTCTTGTCAAACCTCTCTGTAACAGCCACCTCGCAACAGCAGCAATTAATTTTACCACTAAAGCGTGTCCCCAACTGCAAAAATAACCTCTCAACAACGGTCAGTTTTTTCAGCCACTGATGAAAAAGTCAAAAATGGTCATGAAGTTTGATCCACATTGAGCTACATTGCGCGTTATATGATAAATCATAGCAATCATATTTTGATTGTGATCCATTAATACTGCTGCCGTAAGGATAAGTTAAATTCTTTAGATCGATCTGAGGGAGAAAGTATTTCAGTTTTGCCTTCTTTTTTATACCATTACATGCATAAGATGCGTTGAAATATATATAGGGTTTAGAAGTTAAAAAAGGACATCTTAAAAGTGGATGTCCAGAAATCATTATGGTGGAGCACATTCAGCAGATCACAGACAATCTAGACAATGAAGATGAAGAAATGATCGTCGCAGTGAACGCAATTTATGCAATTGCGTAAAGAAGCCTGAAAAAAAAATTCAGGACTTCAACGGGGTTTGAACCCGTGACCTCGCGATACCGGTGCGATGCTCTACCAACTGAGCTATGAAGCCACTGACGTTGGGAGCACGTCAATTGTGGGTTCATATGTTCCAGTCAGAGAAATGAGTGTTAACGATATGAAAAAAATCATACATGAACTGCGAAAATGAAATGAAGATGAAGAAATGATCGTCGCAGTGAACGCAATTTATGCAATTGCGTAAAGAATTTACGCATATCATCTGCAGTGGCTTAGCCGTTCTTCCCGCCTAGGCCGGCCCAGAATTTTGCCTTTGGAGCAACTGAGGAACGGATTTGATTCAGAAGATTCTGTGTCTTCTGCTTTAGATTTACTCTTATTTAGTAATTCTGATCATTTATTGGTTTCCAAGAATTACTCTTTGCATTTTGCTAGTCGCTTGCAGTAACACTTCTTTTGCAGCTTCATTTTTTTATGTTATTGAATTTATTTTGGACCTCAGTCTAAAGGCTACCTTGTTTATTTCAGTATGATTTTTGATAAATCTTTGACACATTCTATTCTTGATTTTCGTTGCAGATAAAATCAAACAAGGAAAACCCTGGATACATTAGAAGATCGCCAGACATAATTTCCAGCACTAATTTGGCAAAAAAGTAACGTATCTTGAGTCATTACAAGTTCATGTTTGCTATTACGTAAAGGGATGTTGCTCACCAATCCACAATACACTGAGCTTCATAGGCCAAAACACAGACTACGTTTTGTTAATAACACACATCTAATAGCAACATTTCTCAGCATTTCTTATTATTTACATGAACCTTAGGATGCGATGTCCAGAAATCATTGATGGAGTGCGGATTAAGCAGATAACAGACAATCCAGATAATGTTGTCAATTTTCTCCCTTTTAATGATCATTTTTCCCAAACCATTGTAAAGAAGACTTTTCCCTAATATTGGTAATAGAATTGTAAATAGCTTTATATTTTTCTACCATAATTGTTGAAATTGTTCTACATATTTTACCAACGATATCGAATTTAATAATCTCTAATCTCCTGTCTCTAATTAAGTTCTCTCGCTTTAGTGACGACAGTGACACCAGAGGTACCGCCACTGCAAAGAAATAATGAGACCGACGAGACCAGCTTTGAAGGGAACTGTTTTATCTTTGAAGACCAGCCATCCCCAGATCAATATTGCCCTGTTTGTCTAGCCATTATGACGAGGCCTGTTCAGACAACATGCGGCCATAGGTTTTGTAAGGATTGCCTCGTGGGGACATTCAGGTAGCAATTTTATGCTGTGATAATTCTTTTAATTCAATTCAATTCAATTCATTGCAAATAGGTTTTTCCTTTTGTGCAAATAATATCATGCTTCATTTTGTACCCTTTATAATATAATGTATTGTAAGAAGGTTTACGTTTATCATAATTGTTTTCATAAGATGTGTGTAAATAGGCTTTTCCCTTTTCCAGTGTAAATATAATGTTATATATTGTTTTCAAATGCCATTGTATTATTTTCTATACATCTGACATACTTCGATCGGGGTTTTTTATCATATTTTTCATGTATTTATTGTTTGCATTTCCGTATCGGTTCGCTATACATGAAATACCACTTCTTATTCCCTCTGAGAGGTGTTCTAACACGCCTGCTTTCTAACAAGCCTGTTATTTCGTGGGATGCATGTGGCAGACCACGATAAAAACCCGGTTTAGTTTCTTTTTCATTGTTCGAACAAATTGCAAAGTCAGCCAATACTGATTGCGTAAAAGCTTATTGATGATTTCTTCTTTCAAGCCGACCAATGGAAATGTACATCTTCACCGAGTTTTAATCAATTTTCTTCCTCTAAAGAACGTTTCTTGGCATGAAGTTCATCGCTTGTCAGTTTCATCTTCATTTATTTATCGATTCATCTCAGCTCTATTTTTAATAAAGCTAACTGTTCTTTTGTTTAAAACGTGAGTCAATTTATTGCCACTTCTCACACCTTTCAAGTTTATCGGTATAATGAAAAGTGTTCGCTGTTAATTGTACCTCGATGTTTTCGAGAATACTTGGCGCAATCATGAATCACTTATAATCCAGTCCACCATTGTCAACAACAGAGACATGAAGCGACAACATTTCTTTCACCAGTAAACAGTACTAATTCTATTTAGAGAATAATACAGTTCCTGTTCAGTTTAGTCATTAGCACCTTAAACCAACCCGTACATGTAACCTACTCATCGATACTCATAACACATCTTTCCGATTTCCCTAGTTTTTCCAAATTGAGATCTTAATACTCCATTATACTTCCATAAATGGGGGGTACAGTTTCAGCCATAATGTATCAGCATAATTAGGGATTAAGCTAAAGGCATGAGACCGACATCACATGAGAAACAAGACAACCAATACCTTCTGGGTTATACATAAAATAAAAAAACTTCTTTTTCATTTTCAAAAGTGGGAGAAGCTAACTAATACAATTAATAGTAGTTGATCCACTGAGGTTCGTAAAAATGCCACTCTCTTCTTTAGCAGGCATCTTTATTGTTGACGTTGTTGTTGTAACATATATATACATATTTTTGGTTGTTTTTGTTATCCTTTTTCTTTTTTCTTTTAGGTTAGTATCTAATTAAGTGGAGTTGTATAATTTAATTTATTTAATTAATGTTTATTTTTAAATAACATTGTAAAACTTGTCTTTCATTTAATTCAATAAAAACTGTTTAAAATAAAAAGACGGAAGAACACAACAGTTGCAGCGTCAAACAGACTGAAGAAAACCAGTCCTGAACATGCTCCAAGGTCTTCACCATCTCCTGCTGAGTTCCCTTATAAAGTGTGTGGCAGGTAAGTTTACACCTATAGTGCCTCACAGCTGCTCCCCTGCATATGAAAGGGAATATCTTAAGGGTCTGGGACAGAAGCAAACCGATATTGGTATTTGATATCTGTTGCTTTGATTAACCTGATGAGTTTCACACTGCACTTATTTAATTTGCAGAATATTCCACACGGTACAGGGTAGATCGGTCCACATGAGGCACCATGCAAAAAAAACTAACCAAAACGATGACAAGATTGGAGAGCTGCAGAAACGGTAACAATTAAGAGTACTTAACCCTTTTGTCTTTTGAAAACAAATGAATAATGAATGATGAATGAATGATAATGGCTAATAAAGGTTTTTAATCGGAAGGAAGCATAACGTGAAGTCAAGCCAGTAAAGTAAGAACTTAAGACCTAGACTAAGCAAAGCATTGACTGAAGTTCCAAGCTTAGCTTAAGACCTAAACGCGATGAGCATGTATTCACCCGTTAAAGTATACAAAATCTGTCTTTTCGATTGTAAAAGGCTCACCTGGCACTAAAGGCGATGAGCATGTATTCACCAGTTAAAGTATACAAAATCTGTCTTTCGATTGTAAAAGGCTCACCTGGCACAGTCATATCAAATACTTAATTGGGAAACTGAACTTAAGAAATTATCTAGTTAAAAGAGCTAAAGGCTACCTCAATCTTCACTGCATAAAATTGTTATTTAATCCACTCGTGAAGCCTATCTTTAAATACTGTTGCTCGGTTTGGGGTAAGGGCCCGAAACGACCACTGTGTATGATGTTCAAAATTGTGAACAAGGAACGTCCAGATTGTTTCACAAGTTCTAGAACTTATATAAAAAATACCCATAGCTACAACACTCGGTTATCTCCTAAAAAAAATGCCGGTCAAACGCTGGTCTGCGAACATTTTATACGCGTGCGACCCGCCTTTGGAATCGTCTAGACGACAAGCTTAAAAACATGACCAATGAAAGGAACTTTACGAAACATTTGCTCGAGAAATTCCTACACATTAATGCAAGTCGCAAACATTTCAGTATTACAAGGACATCTTAAGGTACCTTTTTTATTTTTTTATCTCGATTTTACTGTACTAATCAGGTAGCTATTTTTTAACCATTTTCAATTTTTTACCTTTTAACTTCTTTTTACGATATCTTTTACATTTTAGAATTATTTGTATATTGGGCCCACAATGTGTACAATGTAAACTACTGGGTTTATTTCTTTATTCATTTGCAGCGGTTAAAAGGGATGCAATTAAAGTTCTAACTAGATGTATGAAAAGGGTACCATCAATAGAAGGTATTCGAAAGGAGTACCTTTTCTGTTGAAAATGGTATCATTTATAAAAAGGTTAGAGGTTGAACCTTATGGCAGAGTCTTCTTGTAATGAGCCTGTTCGTTATTGACTTCCTGCTATGCATGTGAATACCCTGTAATATTAATGAACCAATGTGAAAGGGAGTTGAGGGTTGCTTGATGTTAAGAGTTGTTTTTATCACCAAACAACTTAATGTTATTTTATATCAGTCATTTCATCAACACAATTTGATGGATTGGGGATAACCCTTCTACTCTCAGAAATGGCTGAGGTCAAAATTGATCAAAATTACAAATTTCATTTTGTAAAATGCTGAAAAACTTATAGTACCATTTAAAAGTAATGTTTAAAAGACTTCATTTGAAAGGTCACGCCGAAGAATTTTATCCACTAACTCAAAAGTTAGAAACACCTTACGTACGAGACTCCTTAATTCATTCCTTGTCACAAGTGAAAGGGTTGGTGTATAGACACTTCGGTCTTGTTAACACGCTCTACATGTTTTTTTTTTTTTAACTTAGCCCAAAAATCTTAACCAGCAAGTCAAAATTTCGGAATGTAAATCTATTAAGGAGTTTTTTTTTGTCAATTTAGAGTACTCAGCTCTGCCAAGTTGAAACAAACGCCAGACCTGTCTGCCTTTGTTTTGTTACTTGGGAGGCCTTTATTAGTTTGGATAGGGTAAGGAATATCTTTATTGTGGGGGACAGAAGTAAACTGATATTGGTATTTGATATCTGTTGCTTTGATTAACCTGTTGAGTTTCACACTGCACTTATTTAATTTGCAGAATATTCAACACGGTACAGGGTAGATCGGCCCACATGAGGCGCCATGCAAAAAAAGCTAACCAAAACGATGACAAGATTGGAGAGCTGCGGAAACGGTAACAATTAAGAATACTTAACCCTTTTGCCTTTTAAAAACAAATGAATAATGAATGTTGATAACTGTGTACTTTTTACTCTGATCTATCGTGCGATAGAGTTCGACGTCAAGGATGATTTAAAAATATGAAACATTGATGATGACGGATTTACCAGCCTAACATGCCTGAAAAATTGAAACGCACAGTCGCTATTTTGTATCAACTATGTTTTGGGTTGTCACAAATGAGCAATTTTTTACAAGAAGACAATGGTTTATTTTTTGCAGTTTTGCAATCTTTCGCAGACTAGCATTGAAACCCAGCGTATTTTGGGCACAAGTTGTTCAAGCAAACTTCTAAGTAGATACCGTGCCAACATTGGCAAAGAACGATTAAATGTAATAAACAGTGCCATAAAGAAGGCACTTGAACAGAAGCACGCCATCTTTATGACGATAGATGACCATCATAACATACATACTGTCAGAAGACCGACAGAAGAGGGAAACACAATTGGATCACATGGCTACCATCTTCATCAAGATTGTAAAAAAAGCTCCAGCCATTAATTGGTCTTTTATCTGTTAATTTAATTCGTAATCCCTAGTGTTGACTCTGACCTTGTTGTGTTCAAACCATTTTTTGGTCAAGTAACTTCTAATTTGTTTGCCTCGTCAATGCCTGAATTAACTTACTCTATGTTTGATCCAGTAATGGGCCGACATCAAATGGAAGCACATGACTATCAAGCTTTAAATCTTCAATCTTTGCGTTCATTTAAAGATTTTTATTTAGTTAATTTTCTTTAGTTACCTTTAAAACGTAGGAAAGATTGTAATGATGCTTTTGATATTGTATTACAGAAATCAATGAGAGAATATCTCTCAAACAAGTGGTACTAATGCCAGCTGACTGGCCTGATCAGTTTTTCCCAAGGCAAATAGTGTACCAGAAAGCTAGACAAGCAACTTCAATCAGCACTGTACCTCAGGGCTCTTCCACTCATCCTCTGTGCTGTCATTCCCACTTTAGGGCCCTAAAGACCTTAATGCTGATGATGATATTGTTTTAGGTTACATGCTTTTTGTGAGGCTTGTTTACGAATCTCTTTTTCCAGGGAAGAACCTGGCAGACAAGCAAAAACCCTGGAGAATTAAAAAGTAACCAATAAAAAGGTGCAAACTCTGATTGGCCCAATCAGGGATGATGAAAACAATATTATCCTTGATGATGTGGTCAAAGCTGAAGCTATGAATGATTACTTTACAGCAATAGGACCAACCCTTGCCTCTAAAATTAACTCTGCAGAGGGCTTCATTGATATGACTCACTTGTATTAAGTCCTTCCCACAATTTCACAAGTTCCATTTGATCAAGACGAGCTATTAAAACGCCTTTAGTTAGCATAATTAATCCAAGAAAGACTTTAGGTCCTGATTTTATATCCCCTCGAGATTTCACCTTCTAGGTGAAACAATGATGAACGGATTGTACACTGTATTCAGTTAAGCGCAGTTTGGAGGAATCCACTGTACCTACACAAACGAAGATATCAAGAATGCATACCATCTATAACAAGGGTGATGCATCAGAGGGGGGGAATTATCGCCACATGTTAAGTGTTTCCAGCAAGATCCTAGAAGTAATAGTATGCGAAGGCCTGGACGAATTTATCTCAGATACGGGACTTCTAAGTAATACCCAATGGGGCTTCCGAGCTGGCAGGTCAACTGAGGGTCTTCTGATACCTGAAGCAAGCATAGGATCACAGACAGGTAGGTGGACAACTTTCAGAAGGCTTTTGATACGGTACCTCATCCTATTTTGAGATACAAACTAGAAGCCATTGGTATAACTAGAGATCTTCTAAACTGGATGATTAGTTATTTAACAAACAGAAAGCAGTTTGCCATTGTAAACTGTTGTACCTCACAGACTAGAAATGTCTGTTGCGGAATGCCACAAGGTTCCTTGCTTGGGCCAAAAGCATTGACTCCTTCCAGTGCAACTTCAACTGTAACATCAAATGCTTTTTACTTTGAAATAGGTCAAGCTATTACACACTATCATGTTCCTATACAAGTACAGGATCACTGCCACATCCATGAGAACCAAAACGTATCTGCAGTCAGGGTGCCACTGAAACACCCATTAGTGAGTTAAAAAGGATCATGTCATACTACAGTCAAACCTAACCCTATATATAAAACCTTCTAGCTGACGATATGACAACCAAAATGTAATGATAAAAGGCTGGGGCGGTTATAATGGTGGCTTCATTTCAATCATGCCCTATATTTCTTTATCTGTTTTGGAAGAGATGGGCTGAGTATAGTAAAATATTTTTATGGGCATAATAAAATAATCAATAAATTATTATAATAATGAAATAATAATAATAGTTTTATTTTTCAAATTATTGATTATAATTATATAATAATTGATGTCAATTCGGTATCATTTGTTTCAAATGATTTGCAATGTCAACTGGATCAATAATGTAAGTGCAACGTTTTGATTAGGATAGACGTGTCCATATAAACTAATGGAAACAAAGGAGGACGAGTCGATAAATTAGCCTGCAGCCCATTATCAATCCACAATTAATATCTCCTAGTAACAAACTGCAGATTTTTTTAAGGATATGCAGAGTAAAGTTAATTTGGAAGGTAGATTCTCCATGATGATTGCGAGATGATTTTCTAAGAGCTATGGCACTGCCAGACTATGTAAAGCCTAGAGGCACTCATTCTTGTGCCATTTAAACTGTAACAATTTAATGCTGTGATGCCATTATGAAAAAGTTTCAGCCATGACAAAGGATAATGCTAAAGGCATGAGAACCACAAATTCTCCAGAGTGTGCCTCTGGGCAAATATCACCAACATTTTCATCAACATATTTCATTAGGTTACTTCTTCATCACAGGAGAAACAAGACAGCCATTGCCTTCCGGGTTATGCATACTACACCTGTAATGTCAAAAAGGTGGCTAGGGGAATCTTGTTTTAATTTTTTTTTTTCACAAAGTTATGGTGGGTACCAAAAATAAACGTAAGCTAGCATAACGAACATGTTGATCTGGAGCAACCAGAAGGAACCTCGAACGTGTCAGTCTTTTCTGTTGACCCTGTAGATCACATTTTTGACAAATTTAAGTCTTTCTTGGATACCAAGCATTCGTTAAAGTCTACTTTTCCAGCTCCGACTCTGACGCTAAGAAGCTAAAGCGAGAGGTTGGGGTCACTGGCAACTCAAAATTCAAAGCAATGAGGAACATTTTCTGTTTAATGCAAAAATCGAGGAACATAGCTCCTTGGTGCTCGATACTATGCAGAAAGGTGAACCTGGCGGGCACAGAAGTCCTTGGACATGAAATTGCGACAAAAACGTATCAACCTAGCCAGATAGTTAAAGAACTACGTAGGAATCAAGCTGGAGAACAAGAGACAAAATAAAGAGGGCACTCCAAGGTGGCGGTTCAACAACAAGGTACAATAACTCCGTAATTCGTAAAAACGAGGCCAATACGTGACGGTTTACAATGTATCAATATTGATCAATATTGTCACGGGTAGTGCAAGAGGAGGAATTGGCAGACAACTTAGAAGATGAAAGGAGCATTACAATGCAAAAGTAGCCAGAGGGCTAGTAGCGCCGTGAAGTCTCGTTTGGTACATACATGTACATGGTCTTCTCTTACTGCTACTCGCAATGGTGATGATTGACGGCTTTTTCGAGGTAATATGTCCGTTTGCCCTTTTTTTGGTATTTCCAGAGCTTTTTCTACCTGAAACAAGATACCCAACCTGTGTTTTCTCTACTTGTCTTTAGTCTCTGTTTTTCTTGTGTAGTCCGAATAAGAAAGGAAATATTTTTCATTCGGACGAACTCGGTAAGGGAGAATGAAAATGACTTTTCCTTCGTTTGAGGGCATAGCAAGTATGCGCTATTTTCTTTGTGTCTTTTTTGTTGAGAATTTGTTCTTACACTTTCCAATTACAAACTATTTTTCGTTCGTTTTCACAGTATATAAGGAGAGCATTTGTACTGGAATATCCTTTCCAGGTTTCAGGTCTAGTCGCACCTACGAGACGCTAAACTTTTCATTGTATTTTGTGCTTTGAAAGGTTTTGGTCAGTTTAATCACCTTAAGTTTTTACTTCTATTTTCTCTGTATTTGTGTCTTGTATAAGGCCATCGAGTTCCTTGTCCAACCGACCTGTGTTCAGCTGTGGTCACAAGGGATACATGAAATCTCAATGCAGGATCGGCTTAGAGCTGCCTGGGTAAGCTTTCGGCCCCAAGAACCAAGAATTGCGGTATCCTGTAGTTGAGACACAATCCATTACAGAAAAATAACTTGTGGACTTGTGGTATCAGCATAAAGGATTACGCTAAAGGCATGAGACCCATCACAGGAAAAACAAGACAGCCAATGCCTTCTGGGTTATGGGTACTCCACCATTTTGCCTTTTCTCGACACATGTTGGATTTTATGCGTTTAGCCACAGCCAGCTCAATTAAACAACAGGAAAGCAAAGGCCGCAATTTGTTGTGATATTGACACTTTTTACTGAAGTACAGTTGAACCTCGCAAGCAAACGTACTAGACGATTTGGAGTTTAGTTTAATGTTGGAATCAGTTTTTTAACCTGTTCGTCAGCTGCCTAAGATAGACGGACGTGTGTTGAGTGCTCCATGTAAAATTTTCCTTCTTTCGTAATATCCGATGTTTAATTGTTCATTTCGCTTTCGTCTCTTTGTTTCGTTTTCATGTTTCTCGTTGTTATGTACTTGCTTTGTTTTATGTTTAGTTTATTCTATTTATTGTATTACAGTGTCTTTACTGTTATTTAGTCCATCTATAGATAAACCTTGTACTTGTAACATGTCTACACTTTCCCCAGCCTCGGGAAGTGCATAAGCTATGTGAGGGCGGAAAAGTAATGTATGTAGTTATATATCTAATTTTCAATAACATTTGTTGTTTCTTTTTGTTGTTGTTTGTTTGCGATACTATATTTTTGTCTTATACTTTCGCAATAGTTTGACAGTATGTCTTTTTTACGTTGATTTTTTTAGTAGCAAGTGTGTGGTTATTGGCATTAATCCTTCTTTACTATCCTCAGTGTATTTTGATAGATTTAATTTTTCAGTTTTTCCTTTAATCATTCATTTAAATCCACCACTTAGTAAATATTGGCTCATAGCGCAACCATAAAGGTTGTTAGCGTCTAAATACATGATATATTTAGAGGTTTTTTTAGCATAATTTTTCATGTATTTGTTGTTTACATTTACGTATCGGTTTGCTAAATATGACATACCACTTCTCATTCCCTTAGAGGTGTTCTAACACGCCTGCGTTCTAACAAGCCTGTTCATGATTCCGTGAAATACATGTGACAGACCACAGTAAAAGCCCGGTTTAGTTTTAGCCAATACTGATTGTGTAAAATCTATATTCATGATTTCTTCTTTCAAGCCAACCAATGGGAATGTACAAAATCTTCATCGGTTTTTAATAAATTTGCTTCCTCTGAAGAACGTTTCTTGGCAAGTTCATCGCTTGTCAGTTTCATTTTCATTGGCGCGTCATCTCAGCTATATTTTTAGTAAAGCTAACTGTTTAATTGCTTAAAACTTGAATCAAGTTTATCGGTATACTGAAAAGTGTTCGTTGTTATTGTACCTCGATGTATTCGAGGATACTTGGCTCAATCATGAATCACGTACAATCGCAGTCCACCATGGTCAAAAACAGAGACAAGAAGTGACAGCCTTTCTTTCGCCAATAAACAGTACTGATTCTATTTAGAGAATAATACAGTTCCTGTTCAGATTAGTAAAAGCATTATGTTCTCCATTACTTATTTCGGTGAATATTCCAATTTGCTTTTACACGGGAAGATCTTGTTTGAATACAAAATAACGTTTTTCTTTTTTAAATCGTGCTACGAAAAATAACGACATCCTTGTGACCATTGACAACTATAAATTCAGTCATTAACACCTTAAACCAACCCGTACATGTAACCTACACATCGATACTCATAACACATCTTTCCGTTTTCCCTCATTTTTCCAAATTGAGATCTTAACACTCCATTATGCTTCCATAAACGGGGGGTACAGTTTCAGCCATAATGTATCAGCATAAT